CCGTCTAACAAGGTACAGACGTGAGATTAAAGTATTACTTACGAGTTCGACGGTTGCCCTCGACAGCCCGGCCTTCGCCCGACAAAGTTTCGGATTCACTGTGGAACCACGGGAGCCGGGGGACCCCCTTCATTCTTGCGCGGCAGAACATCTTGCAAGGCCGGAGCCCTTCGCTTCACCGCAAGATATGGGATACACTTTGCACTGTGACACCTTAGACTTGACTGCGTAAGTAGACCATAACACCAAATTGATCTTAATTTAGCTTATATTCCGTTTTACAGACAACAAGACCATGCATCCATCTCGGAGCGGCATCGTTAAAAAGTGTACTCCTCATGCTGGAAGAGAACGGCCGAGTAGAGAGAAAGTTGCAGCGGCGATGTCCGGTAGACTTACTGGATCAGGTTCACCCCCTGGATGAAAAGTAAACGTTGCATAAGAACGGTTACACTTATGGCAGAAGGAAAAGCGCTAGCTTCAAGAATCGTCTTCCGCACACTGCACGACAAGATCACGCGAGACCACGCTTCGCTATTAATGATTTATTACCTGATAACTAATGTTGAATTAGTGAGTCGACGAGGCTGGCCTATTCCACTAAACCGGCACCTATTCCCTATTTATCGGCTATGATTCTAATTCCCTTCTTACTCACTGTTAAGTGTCCACGGCGGTCCGCTGATCCTTGTGTTAACCGCGTGCCTCGGTGCGTCGCACGGACGTCCGGGTCGCTGGCTCGAGCTGCGTCTGGTCGCCTGGCGCTGGAGTAAGAGAGCGATTTCCCCTCTGCGCTCCTCTATTTATCCTCCCTACCTCCAAAGGGGATGCTGCGCTGAACAATGGGCTCGTGCACCCCAAGCCCGCGCACGGCAGTCCCCAGGCGCTGTTGATATGCTAATCAGTGCGCGACGTTGGCGGCGTACATCCTAATTACTCCCTTACCCTTCCTAACAATGGGGCCTGCGCGCTCAAGCGCAATTATCCCAACCCCCATGACTATGCGCAACAGCCCCTGTGACCCCGCTATTCATGCTGTCCCGTGCCTCCCCTGCTTGCCCCGTCGACTCGTGGGGGTGTGTGTGGGGGGAAATGCGCCTCAACCGCGGTGGCCGAATGCCCCACGCCGCGACCACACCATATTAAGGCCGGCCGCAGCGCCGCGGTGCCACGTAGCACGGGGAGGTCATCCAATTCCCTGATCGCCGGAAACCGTGAGAATTAATCCCGATAAGGGTCTCTCGGATAAAAACCGGTCGATCAGGTGACCTTCCCTTCCAGCTCTATGGGGGGGGGGGGGGAATGCGTGCGGGTGTGTGCTTATGTGGGGCGGGTGATGGGGGGCAGTGCGGTGGGGGAAGCCGGGCGGCTCCCTGGCTCGGCAGAGCGGCCCCGTCGTTGTGGCACCACATAGCCCCCCGGGGTGCCAGTCCCCGTCCCGGGTTGACTGGAGCACCTCGCCTGGGTTGCCCCCACGAGGTATCGCCGCGGGGTCCGCGGGATTCGCCCGGCCCTTGTGGCTGGCCTCGGGGGTGGCGGCTCCGTCTCCTGGGGCTCCGGCGGTGGTCTCCTCCTCCATTCCAACGGCTCCCCTCGGCCTCTGGCACCTGCGGGCTGGGGAACAAACTCAGAGGCGGTGGGGTTTAAGGGTCGCCGTCCTCGTCGCCCCCGGCCCCGCCCGGGGCCCCTCGGAGCCCGGGGCTCCGTGGGGCCCATGTACTGCGCGAGGCCCCCGGGCACGGGGGGTGGGGGGACCCCGGGGTTTCGGGGTACTTGGACGGCGGGGCTCCCCCCTCGGGGGCTGCTCGCCACGGCTTCAGTCGGCGGATGTTGACCACCATCTCCCGGCCCCTCTCTCCTCCCTGAATCAGCACCGTCCATGGTGAGATCTGCCGTCTCACAATCCAGGGTCCTCGCCAGTAGGTGGTCAGCTTCCCCACCTGTCCGGCACCGACGCGGGGAGTGTACAGCCACACCTCGGAGCCCGCAGTGTAGAAGGGGGGCTCCATACGGGGTCGGGCGCCCTGCTCTTGCCGCTGGTGCGCGGCCTCTCCGTGCGGGTAGGCTCGGCCCCTGGCCCCTCGCAGGGTCTCCAGCAAGTGCTCCACGGGGTGGCTCCCTTCCTCCCGTTGCGGCGGAGGACACCGAACAGCAGATCTGCGGGCAGGCGAGACTCGCGACCAAACATCATTAGGAACGGGGTCTGTCCTGTAGAGGTGTGAACGGCGGTGGTGTAGGCGAACAGGGCATAGGGAAGGTGTTCGTCCCAGTCCTGTTGATTCGCGGCCGCCATGCGTTTAAGCTTCCCGGCCAGAGTCTGGTTCATCCTCTCTACCATCCCGTTCGCCTGGGGGTGATACGCCGTGGTTCGGTCCTTCTGGATCCCGAACTCTCGGCACAGCGCCTGAAATAGTTCGGCCTCGAATTCACTACCCTGGTCGGTAATGACTCGTTCGGGGATCCCGCACTTAAGTACGTAGTTTTCCACGAAGGCCCGGGCCACTACGAGGGCTGTTTTATCCGGGATAGCCACCGCCACGGGGTAGCGGGTGAAGTATTCCACCGCTACGAGAATATATCGGTTGCCCCGGTGGGATCGTGGAAAGGGCCCCTGCAGGTCGATTCCGACCAACTGATTCGTCCGACTGACTCGGAACGGCCTCAGGGGTACCTGGTACCTCGCCGGCTTTTGCCCACACTGCTGACAGGCCCGGCAGCCCTGCACCCAGGCGGCCACATCTTGTGCCAATTTGGGCCAGAGATACTGGCGACGCAGGGTCTCTCGAGTGCGTCGTTCCCCATCGTGGCCCCCGAGTGGGTGGTCATGCACCAGCCGTAGCAGCTGGGGTCGCACCTGGGCAGGAACACAGATGCACCCCGGCTGGCCGGCCTCGGTTAACTCCCGTACCACTCCGTTCCGCACACACAACCGGGCATACAAACCGCTCCAGGGTCCTGGTAGGGCGCTCTTTTCCTCCCGCAGTGCCGCCTCCACTGCCGCCAGATCCGGATCTCGCTGCTGGGTCTGTCTCAGCTGCTCGTCGTTTAGGCCCGGGAAGGCGCAGCCGACGTCCTCCTGGATCCGTCCGATCGGGTCCCGAGCCGCGGGTCCCGCGCTTGCCGGGCGGTCGACGGGATCCTCAGTGCCACCTGTGAGGGTTCTGTGGCGCACACTGCACTCTCTCTCGCTGGGGGGGGTCAGTGGCCGCGGCCTCTCGGGGGTCCGTTGCCTGCCGGCAGCGTCCCCCCGTGAAACACGGGCAGGCCTCCTCCGCCCTCGTCTCGGCGTACACCGTGGGTCGCCTCGACAAGGCGTCCGCGTTTGCATGCGTCCGGCCAGCCCGATACTCGATTTGCAGGTTGTACTCCTGCAACTGCGCCAACCACCGGGCCATCTGCCCCCGCGGCTCCTTGAATGTAAGAAGAAACTGCAGAGCATAATGGTCAGTGCGTACGCGACATCTCCTGCCGTACAAATACGGCCGGAACTGTTTGCATGCGAAAATCACGGCGTACAACTCTTGGCGGGTCACGCAATAGTTCAGCTCGGCCCCACTCAAGGTCCGGCTGGCGTACGCGATGACTCGTTCCGTCCCATCCTGTACCTGTGACAACACCGCGCCCA